CGGACCCTCCATTCAGGCAGATCGGAGGTAGTAAGGTGTAAACTGACAGCATTCCATTAACACCCATTGTCCCATAGAGCAGAGGGCTCAGTCTGTGTCCACTCTGTAGAAAGTGTGCAGATACAAACCTGTCATCCCCCCACTCTGCACTGATCAGCTGGAGATCAGCATACAGGTCACTTGTTGATCTATTCAGAGTCTGGAGGAGGAGAGGCCTCAGCGTTGCCACTGGTTTGGTTCAGTGTACACAGTCATATGTGATGGAAGAGTTTTATTTTTGTAAAAAGTATTGTGCAGAGATTTATCCATTTTTGTGAGACTCTTACTTGTGGCCCAACAGTCTAAGCATATCTTATGGGTACAAAAATGCTTTTGTTTTATTTAACCACGCCCCTTTAAGCCCTTCTCACTGTTAATGCAATCTGGCACACACACTGTTCACCGTTGCGCCCTATGCATGCCACATTCCTACTTTTCTTTGGGACACCCAAAGGTGTCCCAGGTCCTTTACAATTTTATAGTGTATACTAAAAAAAAACTGTCATGCACCTCTAAAGTTTCAGGTTTGACTTGAAGAAGAGGTGGCAACCCTAGCCCCATGAGCAGGGCCTTTTTTTGCGCTGGCACCCCTGACACAACAGGGGGGATCAAGTATGGAAAGAGCGATCAGCGAAGCGGGTGGGGGATATAACTGAAACAAATCTTTTGTGGCTCTCAACAGCTAAAAGCCGACATCTCCTGCTCCAGTTGCTGCAGTGAGAGCCGCAAAAGTGTCAAAAGTGAGACTTCAAGTGTCTGTTTAGACCACTGATATCTCTGATATCTCACCAAACCCCCCCCCCCCCCCACACACACACACACAGCATTGTGACACAAATGTAAAAATGTATGCAATTAAAAATATTAAAAATTAAAGTGTTACTAAATCCAGGACCCTGCATTCAATATATCTGATTTTGCATACTACACATGGAAATTATTATTTTAGTAAATATAAACTGCTAAATACCTTTTCTCATCAGAAGTTAGAGCAGTCTTGTGACTTCTACCAGTGTCCAGCAGAGCACTGGTTAAAGCTTGTAGGAGGGGTTTTCATTCTCCTTATGAGGCTGCATAAACCCTGCCCCTCTGTCTGGACAGTGCTGATTGGCCCTGTGTTGATCACATGCACTCTCCCAAGAAAAAAAAACTCTCTAGCAATACACACCAAATTGAGCATGTGCAGCTTGCCCCCAAGGCTCTGTTCTATCAGCAGATTGATTTGGGACAGTTGGGGAGGTTCAGAGAAGACAGGATCAAACATTCTTTTTACACAATTCAGAGGATTAACCCATTAGGTTCCACAGTGAGTATAACAAGCATACTTTACTGCATTTACAGACTGATTTTACTGTTGTGGGTTCAGTAACACTTTAAAATTAATTAAAAAACAACTGTAAAAAATCAGACTAAAATTCCTAATCAGACTAAAATGCTACGCTCAATATGTGGCATAATTTATCCATACACACTGTGTGCATTACTGTGGCCAGGGGCCTATGATCCTACTAAGGTGGCACTGCCCATGAGAGCCTCCTGGTACCTTTATTGGGTCACCAGCTTTAAGTCTCCTGCCACTCTGCATGTCACTGAGCTCGGTGTTCCTCCGCGTGGGCCTCCCACATTAATGTCATATCAAAAAGATGGTTGCCGTGGTGGCCATATTTGAACCTGGGGGCCCCATGATCTCCTATTGTCTGGGCCACCATGAGTTGTCAGTTTGCCCTTGAATGATTGGCCTCTGAATGGAACTCGATCACAGCAGACAGCTCGTCTAAATACTCTGTTCCCACTTCAGTATGTTTATGATTTTTTTTTTTTAATCTGAACCTTGATCTCTTGAGCTATCTGTAACCTCAACAAATACTGTACATTTCATACATGAACGATTCCTGTGGTCTACTATTGGTTACAGTAGCTCTAACAAAAAGCCCAGGGGGCAAAGACTTGTCATTTGTGACCAAACAATTTAAACTTGAAAAAATCAATTTGGCTTGCTCAGAGATTAAAGCTTCTTTAAAAAGTATTTTTGGAATAAACAATTTTTAGCCATAAAATGATGTGTGAACAAAGCTCACTCGTCAGACACATTCACTGACCCATGAGTATGCTGTAGAGTATTTTTGGAATTATAGATATGACAACTGAGCTGAACATTACATAAGCTGAAGGTCTCCATTCTGTGCCCTGTGCTGTATGGTACCTACTCCAGACCACACCACTCTGTATGTTATGTCCACCACACTGCTCCACTCTATATGCTGCATTGTTCATAACATACAATGAACCTCTCTATTCTGTATTGTTTTCTATGTGATATCCTACAGACCAGTCCAATCTATATGCTGTGCAGATCTCAAACACTGCATTCTCTCCTGGCAAAAGCTCAAGAGGCATTTACCCTTCTGGAAAGTCACCCGGAATATTTATATCCTTCCCCAGCATGTGCCATTAGCAGTAAACCTCCTGATAGTCAGCAAGAGAAACATAAATATTTATAATTCAGAACTATTGTATCTTCATGCTCTATTGTCAGTGACATTCCCCAGCAGCAGGCAGAAGCAAACAATAAACTGAATTTACCCAGCAAAAGCAGAACTTTAATGATCCAAGCTCAGAATGACTACAGCCTAGCTACAACACAACATTTACATCGGGTTCACACTAATGTGGTGCAGGAAACACTGAGAATCCTGTGTGTTTCACGCACTGCATTGTAATTGCATGGTGTTCATGCGATCTGGTGCAGGTGTCAAGGTTAAATTAATGACACCCGAAACAGATCGTAAAACACGATGCAATTGCCAGAATCCATGCCAGAAGAAACACCCATCTGATGTGATTCAAGTGCAGGTAAAAAAGAGTCTTGTACCTTTTTGGTGAGGATGTGATTTGAGCCACGCCAAATATTCTGCGATTAATGTGTGGATTACATGCGGTGTGCCGGACCGTATTAGTGTGAACCCAGACTTAAGCTACGGTCACTCTGGCTTAGGGCAAACCACCCCACCGATATAGACTTTGTCCCCGAAGTCTGTGACCTAAAATATTCTCACTTCTGGGAATCCTGCTTTAAAATGTACAGGTAAACATTTAATTGAGGAAATAAATAAACCCCAGGTTACAGGCTGCATGTGAAATTTCAAATGGAAATCTACAAAACACAAAAAAGGTTGTAACACATCTCACAAAACAAAGAATAGGTATTACTAGGTTCAAACAGGCAACCAGTGATAGGTACGCTGTGATACACAAAAAAAAAACATGATATCACTTCATACCACTAGCTAACTAGATAGCATAGACTCACATAACATTACACAGAAGAATCAGAATGCAATTATCTTCCAGGGAAAAACATGCTTTCAGAAGTTTCAGCTGTAAAAGAACAGAAAGACACCAACAGCAAAATCAAACAATTGCTGAAATCCCATACTCATGAGATGGACACTCCAGGGCACAGAATATCAAACTATTGGCTTTTCCTAGATGTATCCTAAAAGTCTGGCCTGAGCTGATACTTAAAGTGTTACTAAACCCACAACAGTAAAATCAGTCTGCATATACAGTAAAGCATGCTTGTTATACTCACTGTGGAACCTAAGGGGCTAATCCTCCGCATTATGTAAAAGTGCTGTTTGATCCTGTCTTCCCTTCTTACACAGGCCCCAATCCATCTGCTGATAGTACAGAGCTCTGGGAGTCACTCTGCACAGACTTTGTTTGGTATATATTGCTGGAGAGTTTTTTTTTAAATTTGGGAGGGTGCATGTGATCAGCACAGGGCCAATCAGCACTGTCCAGACAGAGGGCCAAGGGTTAGGCAGCCTCATAGGACAGTCTAACCAAAATGAAAACGCCTCCTACTAACTTTAACCAGTGCTCAGCTGGACACTAACAGGAGTCACAAGACTGCTATATACTGCTGATGAGCAAAGGTATTTAGCAGTTTATGTTTACTAAAATAATTGCATTTCCATGTTCAGTGTACTGTGGGAGGCCAGATATAGTCAATTCAGGGTCCTGGGTTTAGTAATACTTTAACCACTTCTTGACCACGCTATAGCCGAATGACAGCTACAGTGTGGTTGTCCAGTTCTGGGAGGGCATCATATGACGTCCTCCCAGAAAGGGCCCCATGCACGCCCCCAGCAGCGCACACCCAGCCCTCTCTGTGATAGCTGTGTTCTTTGGACACAGCTGAGCACATGACACAGTAAAGGGCCAATCACAGCTGATCACCATGTAAATACACTTGCCAGTTATCGGCAGTACTTTACTCACGTTGTCACTGCGTGAAGAAAGTATTGCCGATAACCAGCAACTGTGAACGGAGACATCTTGCCCTGATTATCAGTGCAGCCCTGAAAGTGCTCATCAGCGCCCAACAGTACTGCCCATCAGTGCCTCCAGTAAGTGTTGTCAGTCAGTGCCGCCAGTCACTGCCCTTCAGTGCTGCCTATTAGTGGCCATCAGTGCTGCCTATCAGTCCCCATCATTGCCACCTATCAGTGCCACTTCATCAGTGCCCATCAGTGCTGCCTATCAGTGCTTTTCAGTGCTGCCTATCAGTGTAACCTCATCAATGCACATCAATGAAGGAGAAAAATTACCGTATTTTTCACTCCATAAGACGCACTTTTTCCCCCCCAAAAAAGGGGGGAAAATGCCAGTGCGTCTTATGGAGCGAATATAAAACGGCCGGTCCGGTATTTCTGCCGCCACCATGTCAGAATACTGGGCTCAGCTGTTCTCTGATGCAGTACCTTACCTGTTTCTCGGTCCAGCACTGCTCAGTCTTCCTGCGCCGGCTTCTTCCTGCGCCGGCTTCTTCCCGCGCCGGCATCTGTGACAGCCGGGTGCCCACTGCGCATGCACGAGAAGTGCTGCGCTTTGTGAACGGTCCAGCGTCCTCTGGGACACATGACAGGTCCCAGAAGACGCCGGGCCATTCACAAAGTGCAGCGCTTCTCGCGCATGCGCAGTGGGCACCCGGCTGTCACAGCTGGGTGCCCACAGTGAAGGGAGGACAACTCTGCGGAAGTGGGAGCGGGTACCTGTCAAATTCAGGTACCCGCTCCCCCTCCCTCCCTAAAGGTTCGCAGTCTCTGGTCATCCCCTGTACTGTCTGCAGTCTCTTGGTCACCCCCTGTACTGTCTGCATTCTCTGGTCATCCCCTATACTGTCTGCAGTCTCTGGTCATCTCCTGTACTGTCTGCAGTCTCTTGTCATCCCCTGTACTGTCTGCAATCTCTGGTCATTCCCTGTACTATGTCCGCAGTCTCTGGTCATCTCCTGTACTGTGTTCGCAGTCTCTGGTCATCCCCTGTACTGTGTCCGCAGTCTCTGGTCATCCCCTGTACTGTGTCCGCAGTCTCTGGTCATCCCCTGTACTGTGTCCACAGGCTCTGGTCATCCCCTGTACTACGTCCGCAGTCTCTAGTCATCTCCTGCACTAGGTACGCAGTCTCTGGTCATCTCCTGTACTGTGTCCGCAGTCTCTTGTCATCTCCTGTACTGTGTCCGCAGTCTCTTGTCATCTCCTGTACTGTGTCCGCAGTCTCTGGTCATCTCCTGTACTGTGTCCGCAGTCTCTGGTCATGTCCTGTACTGTGTCCGCAGTCTCTGGTCATCTCCTGTACTGTGTCTGCAGTCTCTGGTCATGTGCTGTACTGTCCGCAGTCTCTGGTCCATCTCCTGTACTGTGTCCGCAGTCTCTGGTCCATCTCCTGTACTGTGTCCGCAGTCTCTGGTCATCTCCTGTACTGTGTCCGCAGTCTCTGGTCCATCTCCTGTACTGTGTCCGCAGTCTCTGGTCATCTCCTGTACTGTGTCTGCAGTCTCTGGTCATCTCCTGTACTGTGTCTGCAGTCTCTGGTCATGTCCTGTACTGTGTCCACAGTCTCTGGTCATTTCCTGTACTATGTCTGCAGTCCATTGGTATAGAATATTTTTTTCCTTGTTTTTCTCCTCTAAAATCTAGGTGCGTCTTATGGAGCGTAAAATACGGTACCTGTTTGCAAACTTTTATAACAAAAACATAGAAAAACATTTTTTTTTCAAAGTGTTTGGTCTTTTATTTGTTTATAGTGCAAAAAAATAAAAACCCCAGTGGTGATTAAATACCACCAAAAAAAGCTCTATATATATGAAAAAATGATAAACACTTCATATGGGTTGCATGGCCGCGCAATTATAATCGAAGTGCTGAAAATTGAAAGCATTGAAAGCTGAAAATTGGCCTGAACAGGAAGGGGGGAAAGTGTCTGGTAGGTAATTGCTTAAACACTTATTCACACCTAGGAGTGAAAAAGCATAACCCTTTAATACTGAGTCCCTCCATGCAATGCTTTTAGATTTCAAGAAACAGTGTGGCAGATTTCGTTAGTGTCTTGACCACAAGGGTCAGCCCTGAGAAAAGAACATACTATACACTATTTAACTACTCACTAAACACTCAAGCTGAGCATAAAAGAAAAATCCCCATCCATGCGTCTTCTTGAGTGCAGGGCAACTCTTCAATTCTGGCTCTCTCAAGCCTCATAAAATAAACAAAAGACCTCCTTTACTTTCCCTGACTGAGCCAAATACTCCTTCATTTGTGTCTCACACTCTCCCTTCCCAGACAGATCAGCTCACGTTGGGAAGGTTTCAGCAGCAGAGGCAGTGCTGTCAATCCAGAAAGCAACACCAGGGCTATGTGTGGCCAGTTGCTGATAGACAAGCAGCAGGCTTGTTAACCAACAGTGACAATGCTGACATCTATGCTCATTCTCCTCTCATGCAAGCATGCACAGTCATCATGAATTAAGGAGCAGTGCAGTGCAGGATTGTTGCCACACTATCACGGGAAGCTGCAATAGGTGGACTTCACTGACAGGCTAAACAGGTATTTGTGGGACTTTGTAGGGGGGCTAAGAAAACAGTACATGCAGATGCACTTACAATTGAGCAACATTTTTTTTTTAAATGGGAGACCATAGTTCTACTTTAAAGTACAGCGGGAAAAATAAGTATTGAACACGTCACCATTTTTCTCAGTAATTATATTTATAAAGTTGCTATTGACATGAAATTTTCACCATGTTGGTAACAACCCATGCAATCCATACATATAATGATACCAAAAAATTTAAGTTCAGAAATTAAGTTATATGTAATAAAATGGAATGGCAGAGAACAAATATTGAACACATGAAGAAAGGGAGGTGCAAAAAGGTATGGAAAGCCAAGACACCAGCTGAAATCTATCAGTAATTAGAAAGCAATCCTGTCCCTTGTCAGTGCAAATTAATATTAGCTGGTTCAGTCTCACCTGATGGCCTATAAAAAGGTCTCATTACCAAAGTGTCACACAAGAAACATCTCATGATGGGTAAAATTAAAGAACTCTCTCAAGACCTTCGCAACCTTATTGTTGCAAAACATACTGAAGGCATTGGTTACATAAGGATTTCTACACATCTTTATGTTCTAGTGAGCACTGTTGGGGCTATAATGCAGAAGTGGAAAGAACATCATTTCACCATAAACCGGCCACAACCAGGTGTTTCTTGCAAGATTTCTGACAGAGGAGTGAAAAGAATTATCAGAAGAGTTTTCCAAGAGCCAAGGACCACTTCTTTTTAGAAAGACCTGGAATTAGCAGGTACAACTGTTTCAAAGAAAATAATAAGTAATCCAAACTGCCATGGTCTGTAGGCACGCTCACCACACAAGACTCCATTGCTGAAGAAAAAGCATGTTGAAACTAATTTAAAGTTTGCTGCACAACATTTAGACAAGCCTGTTAAATACTGGGAGTATATAGTCTGGTCAGATGAGACCAAAGTTGAACTCTTTGGATGCCATAATACACACCATGTTTGGAGGTCAAATGCCACTGCAAATCACCCCAAAATCACCATATCAACAGTGAAGTTTGGAGGTGTGGGGCTGTTTTTTAGAATACGGTACTGGCAAACTTCATCTCATTGATGGAAGGATGAATGGAAAAATGTACCAAGACATTCTTGATTAAAATCTCTGCTGCCATCTATCAGGATGATGAAGATGAAACGAGGGTGGACATTTCAGCAAGACCATGATCTCAATAACAAAGCCAAGGAAACTCTCAATCGTTTTTCAAAGAAAGAAACGGAAGCTGCTATAATTGCCCAGCCAATCACCTGACTTGAATTCAATAGAAAATCTATGGATCTATGGATCTAAGAAGATCAGAGTTCATTGAAGAGGCCTACAGAACCTTCAAGATTTGAAGAGTGTTTGTGTGGAAGAATTGGCCAAAATCACACGAGAGCATTGCATCTGACTAGTTTCTACATATAGGAGGCATCTTGAAGCTGTTATTAACAACAAATGATTTTGTACAAAGTATTAAATAAATTTCAGTTAGTGTGTCCAATACTTTTTCCCTGTGTCATTCCATTTTAATTCACATAACTTAATTTCTGAACATATTTGTTTTGGTTTCTTTGTATGTATGGATTGCATAGGTTGTTACCGACATGTGGTGAATATTTCATGTCAATAGCACCTTTAGAAATATATTTACCTAGAAAAATGGTGATGTGTTCAATAATTATTTTACCAGCTGCATATTCAACACCAATATTTTTAAATGTTATTCATAAAGTAGGGCTCCTTCCTGTTGTTTTCTGTTGGAGAAATTTTCCTTCACTTTCTGTCTCAGAGACATCATATGATTTGAGAGGAAGTCTTTCCAAAGTGAGGGGAGATCAGGTTTCCCTATTGGAAGATTTCCTTTCATCTATTCAGGAAACTACTCTAATGTTTTGGATTTTCCATCACCTCCATTCCTGCTGACAGTGGTCCCTGGGACAAAGAAAGAAGATGAATCTCCCCAATAGGCAGACAGAAATAAAAAGCTGACAATGTTTCCAACCCTTACCCAACCCCCACACAAAACTAAAAATCTTTACATACACTTAAAGTGAAAAAATACTCGCCTCAGCTCCAGCGATGTGGCATCCCCCGATCCCCGCCCGGTCACTGACATCTTTGGGTGACTGGGTTGTGGGTCTCGATTGCTGACTGGGTGGGGATGAGGTCCCTCCCACACATGCACAGGAGTTCTGTCGGATTCGGCATTGCCAAATTTGTTCAGTGAGCTAGGCATGTGTGGCTCACTGTACAAGGGTGGACAGGTAGGTAAGTAGCTTTAATGCAGAAGAGACAAAGTTTATCTCTTCTGCATTAAAAATCTTGCATATCTGTTAAGTGCCTTAGCATAAAGTTCAAAAAAAAAAAAAAAAGCAAAAAAGGCAAACCTGCCAAGAGGGCATGACCAGAGCGACGGCTGAGGTCATCTTCATACAGGATTCCATGAGTGATTACAGCGTACCGGCCAAGTAGATGACACACTTTATCTTTTAAAGAAATGTCAGGCCTTGCTTGTTCAAAGGTTGTGGAAATTTTAATTCTGATCCCACCCATAAAACAGCATAATGTTCCAAAATGTAAAAATGTGCTCTTTGTCTAAAAATAGAAAGCAGAGTATGTTTATGTTATATATTCTTACCACTAAACTCAGCTTTGGTGCATCTGATAAAAAGGAAGCTAACAGACAGGGCACATTACCACTTTAATCAGATGGACTAAAGCTTTCCTGCCAGGGCTACGTTTCCAGTTATTTATAGAACTTGGAACTTCTCTACAAACACATCCCTGCAGTAGGGTATTCCTTGCCTACAATGAGCTTAAAGTGAAACCTTAAATTAAAATAGAAAATTGTGTGAACAGGCAGGCCTTTTGTTGCAGAAGAGATATGAATTTGGGGCAAGCACCAACATTTGCCATGCAAGGGGGCACTTAGGCTGGAGTGTTTATATGGACAATCCATCCTCAAAGCAACAGAGCTCCCTTCCCTCCAATGGGTGACTCAGCAAGTTGGGACTCTATCGCTTCCACCTGGTTCTGGAGGTCCATGCAAGGTTTCAGAAGACAATGGGCGGAAGGGGTGGAGACCTAAATCTTTATATTTTTGGGAGTCTGACCAATCTCAGGCTAAGAGGCACTGGTAGTGTGGTAAGACTATCCCATAAATATGAGAGAGCCATGCTAGCGGGGGACTTGAGTGGAAGATGGAGTGCTGAGGAGGCTGTCGTTGGCCTAGGAAGGATCCCCAAGGTCTGGGGAAGTCTTTACCGCCAGGCTGGGCACGGGCTGGCTTGGGGAGATCTCACCAACAGCCCAGTTTGAGGAGGAGTCTCACCTAAGGAGTAGTAGCAGGGAGGAGAACAGTCCAGATCTGTCTCTGTACATAGGAAGGAAGTTGTCCCTGTGCTTTGGTTCAGTCAAGTTGGCCATCCATAATCCCTATTACCCCATCCAAGTTATTACCCTTAATAAAAAAAAACATAAAACAAAACCAAGATCAGAGAGAGACTGTTTCATTGTGTCTGGACAAAAGTGGAGAAAAATGCTTGTTACTTGGCTGTGCAGGGACAGGGGAACCAGTTACTAGCGGCCATCATGGGGGTAGTGCTGCAATACAGTGCAGGACCAATAGAGAGCTGTGATTGGTCAAACAGTGAAGAAAAGCAGCTTCTGGGAACCAGTCGTGCAGCATGAAGGAAGCTTATGGTAGCAAGGAATAAGGTATTACACCTTATTCCAACTCTAGATAAAACGAACAGGTAATCCTTGTAATCCCACCCACTGCAAGGGTAACTTTCTCCAGCCTGGACTTCAGCATTAATAATGAACAGCAATCGTTCATTCCAGAATGAGCTCAGAGTGATTCATTATGTAATGCATACATGATGGGTTTTCCTTTAAATGTTTGTTAGGTATTTACCTAAAATGGAACTATGCTCACCTCCCCTCCAGCGATGCAGTCAGTGAGCTCCTT